TATATCAAAACTCAAAGAAATGATTAGGGATTTCTGTACAAAGGAGATATTTGGCAAGGTGATTGCAGGTGAGATATTATTTCATATAAAGTATCTTATAATAATTTATTATATATGGACTGCTTAATTCGACCTTTACCAATCTTTAACTTATTTGAGTATTAATGATTTTGATACATCATTTCTAGTGCAGTCGTCTACACAATTGAGTTTAAAAAACGTGGATTGCCCCATGCTCATATACTTATGTTTTTATCTAAAGAGAACAAGTTCCCTAATCCTTCCGACATTGACAGAATCATATCAGCTGAGATACCAGATGAACTATCTGATCCTTTGTATTATGAAGCAGTAAAGGAGCACATGATTCACGGGCCATGTGGTTTGATACGAAAAGGTTCGCCGTGTATGATGGTAAATGCAGCAAGCGTTTTTCAAAACAGTTTGTCGAATCAACCACTGTTGATGATGAAGGTTATCCTCGGTATAGACGGCGTGATGATGGGAGGTCTATTGACAAAAATGGTGTTGTTGTCCACAATGGATATGTCGTGCCTCATAACCGTGGTCTTTTGATGAAGTTCGGAGCTCACATCAACGTTGAGTGGTGCAACAAATCACAATCAATAAAGTACCTCTTCAAATATGTCAACAAAGGCCACGATCGTGTGACGACATCTTTCTATCAAACTTCAACTGAGGGGGAACCTGAAAAACCTTTGGATGAGATCAACATGTACTATGATTGCAGGTACATTTCTTCATGTGAGGCTGCCTGGCGTTTGTTGGGTTATGAGTTGCAATACAAAAAACCTCATGTTCAGCGGTTGAGTTTCCATTTGAAAAGAAAGCATCAAGTTTTCTTTGACGATTATGATAATCTTCAATATGTTCTCGATAAACCCTCTGTCGAGGATAGCCAATTTCTTGCGTGGTTTCAGGCCAACAAAGTGTATCCGGCAGCAAGAAAACTAACTTATGTTGAGGCGCCATCAAAATTCGTTTGGAATAAAACAACCTGCGAGTGGACTCCTAGAAAAATTGAAGACCAACCATCTGTAGGTCGTCTGCGATATGTACCTCTTGGTTGTGGAGATGATTTCTATTTGAGGTGTTTGTTAAATGTTGCTCGCGGTGCAACGTATCATGAGTACTACATGAAGATTGGAGAGACTCAGTATATTACATATCGAGATGCTTCTATGAAAGGGGTTTGTTGGAGGATGATAGAGAGTACATAGACGGCATCGCTGAAGCAAGTCAGTGGGCATCCACAGCCTCTCTAAGACGCATGTTCGCATCGTTTTTGGTTTCTAGTTTGTCTGGTAGACCTGAGGAGGTATGGATAAGATGTTGGCAATCTTTGTCGGATGACATTCTTTACAGACAGCGGCGACTGTTCAACAATGATGGTATTTTATTATATTAGTGATTAGTGATATTATATTCTAAATATGATGTGCCTTGGATTTTAATATACAAATTTATATTCTTTTGAATTGTTGTGATGCTAAATTATCTTTTTTGAAAATTTAGGTTTGTTGCTTACATAAGAGCAAATCCAGAATCTAGCCCTTGCTGAGATTGAGTATTTATTGCGACGGCATGGAGCAAGTCTTAGTGATTATTCTACTATGCCCTTTCATGATAGCGACAGTATGCAATCAAATTCAAATTGTCTGCTTTTGGACGAGTTGAACTACGATCGAAAGGCTCTTACTGTTGAACATGCTATGCTTCTTGAAAAAATGACCGACGAACAGAAAGGAGTCTACTCAACAATTGTGTCATCCGTGGATTCTGGTCAAGGCGGTGTTTTTTTTGTATATGGATGTGGTGGAACGGGAAAAACATATTTGTGGAGAACGTTATCTGCTGGGCTGAGATCCAAAGGTGGTATAGTGTTGTGTGTCGCATCGAGTGGAATAGCATCACTTTTGTTACCTGGTGGACGAACTGCTCATTCTCGATTTGGCATACCATTAAATCCTCACCAGGACACTTCTTGCAATATCAATCAGGGAAGTCCTCTCGTGGAATTGATAATACGTTCTTCTTTGATAATCTGGGTTGAGACTCCAATGATGCACAAGCATTGCTTCGAAGCTGTTCAGACATCGTTGTAAGATATTATGGGAGCAATTAATCCTTCTAACAAGGACAAACCATTTGGAGGCAAATCAGTTGTTTTTGGTGGAGATTTCTGGCAAATTCTTCCTGTAATTCCGAAGGGTAGCCGTTAGGACATAGTGAATGCTGCGATTAATGCCAAGGTTGTCAAAACCGGACCGGTCATCGAACCGGTGAAGCTACCAGTTCAATGGTTCACTGGTCGAACTAATGGTCGAACCGGTCGACCCGTTTTAATAATATATATAATTTTTATTTATTTTATATGTATAATATATAATTAAATATAATTTTATCATTAATTTTACAGTGTAATGACATTTCTCTAAATAATAGTTCATAATAGATACAACCCACATTGTTATATTTTAGTGTATATATATATATATATATAAAGAATTTGGCCCTAAACCAGAAAAGGGTATTTGAAAGAGCATAAGAATCCAATATTCAGCAACCCAACGCTATTTTAGAGTTTAGACCATTGCATCATAAATAGAAGGTTAGTTGATAACATAGATGATATAACAATGTCTATTCTTACTACTCTTTCCATCAATAATCTATTGAGATGGGCTTAAAATTGGCCCAACAAAGCTCATAATTTTTCACCGGCCCACTATCCTTTCCAAACACAAGCAGACAGCAATGCTAGTCCCACATCGAAAGCTAAACAAAAAAAGGTCTGCTTTATAAAATATGACTTTGGCGTTGAGTAGCAACATTCTACACAGGGACCGTTTGGCCGCGTGAACCGCTCCCGGTTCTACGGTTTGACCGGTTTTCCACCGATTTGACCGGTTTTGGACCTGAGCGTTTATGTCTCAAATCGAACCGTTATACTCACTGGTTCGCGGTCCAACCGGTCAGACCGGCCGGTCCGGTCCGGTTTTGACAACTATGATTAATGCTTCTGACATCTGGAGGAGTTGTACTGTGCTCAGGCTTACAAAAAACATGCGTCTTCAGAGCCTTAAAGATTCTGAGGAACTTGAAGAGGTTGCTCGGTTTGCTGAATGGATTGCGAGAATTGGTGATGGAACTATAGGTGGGTCAAACGATGGTTGCGCAATGATTGACGTACCTGAGGATATATTGCTTCAACCATCTGATGATCCGATTGCTCAAATTGTAGAGAGCATATATCCAATGTTTAAGCGGACGACCAATGATCCCAGTTATTTGAAGGACAGGGCAATATTAGCATCGACGCTGGATGTTGTTAAGTTCGTTAATGAATACATGACGTCGTTGAATTTATCAGAAGGTAATACGTACTTAATTTCCGACAGTACTTGCAAGTCGGATTATAATAATGATTTTCTTTCTTATATCCATACGCCCGAGTTCTTGAAATAGTATCAAATGTTCTGAAATTCCAAATCATGAGTTACATTTGAAGATTGGAACTCACGTCATGTTATTGCGAAATATGGATCATTCAATGGGTTTATGTAATGGGACACGATTGGTTGTGATAAAACTATCCGCTCATGTTCTTGAGTGTAAGATACTCACTGGGGATCACGAAGGCGAGAAGGTGTTGATTCCTAAAATGGCTATTACTCCTTCCGATGTCAGAATTCCTTTCAAGTTTCAGAGGCGACAATTTTCGATTATGGTTTCTTATGCCATGACTATCAACAAGAGCCAAGCACAGTCGTTATCGCATGTTGGTTTATTTCTTAAGAAGCCGGTGTTTAATCATGGTCAATTATATGTTGCCGCCTCCCGCGTCACCAATCGAAGTGGATTGAAAATATTAGTCTGTAATGACGATGACGTGCCGCCAAATCAAACCCAAAACGTTGTGTACAAAGAAGTGTTTACTAATTTATGAAGTTTCTAATTTGTTTTTTTCTATCTTACATTTGTTACGTATCTACAAAGTGCATTAAATTTAATGTTAATATTAAAAAGTTTCAGAAAAATATACCAGCCCATGCATTGCACGGGTCAGTACTAGTTAATTCATACATAAGGGACATCTCTGAAATAGAAATAAGGTGGCCTTTGATCAGCATCTCCAGTGATGGCTTGGGTGACCCGCGTTGTACACTTTGATAAATGTAAGAGGGTCACATATAGCTTTTCCTTAAACCACCCGCCACACCAAAAAGCTCTTTTGACCCCACCAATTCATGTCCACGACCCATCTCCAATTTCCTACACTCTCTCCTACCTGTTTTTAATATAATAGTAAAGTGCACGCGCGATGCACGTAATACATGATTTATATTTTAATGTAATTTTAAATTACATTTTGTCTTTTATATTTTGATGGTCTATTCAATTTTTGGCATTATTATTTTCAATTAATCGAAAACTAGAAGTACATTACATAATGGACAATGTAAAATATATTGAAAGTTGAAACACATTTTCCAAAATAATAATATTTAAAAGTCATAGTGAAAAAGATTACATAATGGTCATTTATTTAATTTTTTTTAAATTAACCACGAGAAGTTACTTGAACTCTAAATCCACTAAAGGTCTCAAGAAAATGTCAATATCATAAAAAAAGTAAAATGAAGTTAGATATCCATAAATTTATCAGCTCATGAATTTCAACAAGAAGGCGACTTTACTTCCACGAGATCACATCTTTAGCCGAAACTTTCTCTAATCATATAAAGAGAGATTGATTGGTTCCAAGCATACAACAAGTCACAAATCCAGCATTTCATCAAACACATAGAGCGCAGCGATTACCATCTTTAGTTCATCAATACAATGCAAAAAATCATACACAACAGTCGAAATATAAATCGAGTGAGCAGAGGTCACCAGAACAATTAGTGTCGTGACTGCGTGAGCCGTGTACCGGTTGCCACACGGCAACAACCCGAGCCTGATCTCGATCACATTCACCATGGACAACATGAGGAACCAGCAACCAACGACAGAACCCACGGTGGAGGCCAGCATCTTAGGAGTTTTCGGGCCACGTTGACACCGGCATCACAGGAGGAGTGGTTTTCGAGGTTGTTCTGGCCGAGCGTTGTGAGGGAGAGGCCGATGAAGACGTCGTGGTGAAGAGGGAGTCGACATTTATGCGGTCGTCGAGGGCGGTGACGTGGACCCTGGTTGTCAAAAAGGAAGGCCCGCCGTGGCGGAGAAGGTGCGTCAGGGTGGCGGCGTAAATGGGTCCTTCGGGTAAACATCCGATTATCCATGGAACACAGAAAAGGGGTGTTGTAGATGGGAAAATGTGGTGCTATAATTGGTGGGATTTGCTCATTGCGGTTGCATAGGAGACGAAGGAAAAATGGATGGTTTTGCTTGGGGAGCTTTTTGGTCATTTAATTGGCCCAATATATTTTAAAGCACATAGATTTCTTGTGGTTGTTTGGTAATTAATTTAAAAATGAGAAATCTCAAAATTGGTCCCATAGATGTGCTGTAAAGTAGAAAGTAGAAAATTTTTCAAACTAGTGCGATGCACGGACGAATTTGTTACTTAAACTTTATTTTTAAATATATATTAAACATAATTATTTATATTTAACATTTCACTATTGAAAGAAAAAAATACAAAATATGAAAAATTATATAGTATTTAATTAAATATGTTCCCAACCAAACCAATAGAATGTAACACATGATATATGATAAAATTAATTAAATGAGTCGTCATGATTATATAGATGTGTACAAAAAAATAGGTACCAAGAATCCACATAATATGAGATCTTTCTAAACTTTAAAAGATTGTGTAGTTAGATAAATGTAGAGAAAAAAATCATCAATTAAGTTGAACAACGCGAAATATAAAAAAAAAAAATCGAAATTAACATTCTCTATTAAATAAATATGAATTTATAGTTGTGACCATAAAATATGAGATTTGTAGGTAAATAAATATGGATAAAATATATTTAACAATTAAATTGACTGACTTTTCATAAAGATTTCAAAAACTTTCAAACCTTTTTTTCGTTAAATGATTGACCGAATTTTGTCACCAAATATACACGTATGACTGAAAAAATGTAAGGAAATGATTGGTTGGATTTTTTGGAAGCAAGATTTTCAAAATTCTTTCTCATTATTGGCTAGGTTTACCTATAGCATTTGAGGAAATCATTGCCCATATTTTTAGGAATTAAGATTTACATAATATCTTTCTCAAATAATCATTGCCCAGTTTCCTACACACTTTTCTACATATTTTTAATATACTAGTAAAGTGCACGTGCGACGCACGTAATATATAATTTATATTTAAATGTGATTTTAAATTATATTTTCTCTTTCATATATTTGTGGTCGATTCAATTTTTTGCATTATTATTTTCAATTAATCGAACACAAGAAGTACATTACATAATGGACAGTGTCAAAAATATTGAAAGTTGAAATACAATTTTTGAAACAATAATATTTAAAAGTCATAGTTGTAAGAATTTTAGGTATCGAAAACTCCAAATTTTCACACAAAGATCAAAAATAAAATACGCAGCGGAAATAAATAATACGAAATATTCAAAATTTAGCCTACAAGTGAATATACACTTGTAGACTAAGGCCACATGCCGAAATTCCACTAGAACAAATTATTCACAAAATTTTTCATCCAATCCAAAAACATCTAGTGAACTATAAAAAACACAAAACGCGAGTTCGACACTAATATGCACTATATCACTTCAGTCTTCAGATAATCAAATGAATCATGCCAAAAGAAAAGTAGTAAAAAACAAGCTGCTCCTTGAAATCTCCAATCAAACCACGCAGCCCTTTGTTCCAAAAATCACAATTTGTGCTGCTATTATTTGCTTGTTGAATCCCAGTTGTGCTGCTCTTAATTTTTCAATTAAAATCCCTGCAGCTCTAAGAAAAATATGTGCTCCAACACTCAAGTTGTTGCTCCTTGGAACCAAAGAATTCCACGCTGTTGCTCCTCCTTTTTTTCCAAAAACGTACGCTGCTCTTCTTGATAACTCACCCACACGGCTTCTCCCTCAAAATCTCTTTTCCTTCTTATCTTTTTCTTTCCTAGCAAGACACCTAATAACACAAGGAAACCAAATAATAAAAGGAAACCAAATAAAAACAATATTATACTAAATATAAAATAAATACAAAAATATGCACAAATAAATCAGAAAAGCAAAATATTTATTCTAAAATACGTATTTAACAATCTCCCCCTTTTTGCTTTTCTGAACAAAACAATAAAAGCATTAACAACTCCCCCTAAATAACACATTGAAAACAAATAAAAGAGATAAGGAAGAGAAACGCAAAAAAGGCCTAACAGAAAAAANGTTTTTTTTTTTTTAATATATATATATAATAGCAGCAAAACAGAACTAGGAGCAAGGAACAAACAAGACATCAAGTATTTCTCTTAAACGTGGACAACCACGCATTCCTCTAAGGCGTGGGCACGGCTTAACTTAAAGCGTAGCAACAAGCAAGAACAATTTGACAGCAAAAGAAACGGTAAAGACGGACTAAAGAGATGCAAACATACAGAGATCCATTACGGATAAATCAAAATCAATAAGAATCATATCAACACATTAATATCAAAGCCGTAAATATAGATTTCACAATCATAATGCACGTCAATCTCATAATCACCCAAGTTTTTCCAAACTCACGAACTCACTCCACAGAAAGCACTACTCATTTGAAGACAGAAGATAGTTCCATAATTCACACATCGCACAAAGAAATGAGATCATAGCTTTAACATTCACCAATTATGCATGTCCTAATTATGCCTAAAAAGAATGCCTAAGAAAATAAAAAGAAAAGTAAACGTGAACGGTATAATCAAAGTTAGCACAAAAGAAATAACGACACATTCAATCACTTTTACACAGACTGGAAAATCGCACTTCATTTTTTTCTCTCTTTTTTTTTTCAACACGAAGGAATAATGGGCACGGGGTAGCTACACTCTTGTGGAGTAGGTACGCTCAAGTCAAGACAATGAAGACTTTTACCATAAGCTTGCGAATATATTACGCTCGTCCACCCAAGAATCAATATGAATGCACAGGATCAAAGGGTTTAAATGGGTTGTAATGAGGCTTAGGTAAGGTGAGATAAAAGGACATATTAGGCTATGAGAATCAAAGCAACCATACAAACTCTTTACAAATGGAGCACATCCCAAAAGAAATTACATTGACTGCCTAACTTCACAAAAAGTTCTAACGTAAAGAACAAAGTAGCGCAATTCTCTTCATCGTCATTCTCCCCAACTTTTTTTTTTTTTGATTTTTTTTTTGATTTTTTTATGAGTTTTTTGATTTTTTTTTTCGGAGAGAAAACAATAACTAATAGATGTTAGATAACTAGACCTCAAACAAACCACAGTCAAGTCTACGCACATAAGCTCATCATGAATACAAAGAATTCATATAATTGCTTCAACTCAAGGTTCAAAGAGGACATCAACAAAAAGGATATTGTGGCTTGTAACGTGGCTAATAGAAAGAAAAGGCTAAGGCTCAAACTTGGCTCACTATGTGTCTATGTAAAGGGTCGGCTTCCAAGAAAAAAAGGTAAAACAAATGGCTAAAATCCTATACCCTTATTATGATATCGTGCATCCAAATTCATCAAAGGAGTAAACAAAGACGTGCATACCAAAGCAAGTTTTGGAAAAATCAACTAGTCATGACACACACAATCAAGGAAATGGAACATGATATTCAATGTATGCTCATCGGCTCAAATCTCACAAAAAACAAGGTAAAACAAGGAAATGGAACTCGACACCCATCATTTTTTATTTATTTATTTTTTTTTTTTGTGTGAAGATACGACCAATCATCCATTTATCAAGTGAAAGAGTGCACCACTACAACTTCATTCCTCCAACAAATATACCGTTTATGCAATAATAATGCAATTATGAATGAAAAGAAATAAAAAATGCATGTATGCAAAAACTCGTGTTACAACGATGATGCAACGTGGAAGTTGCAACACGATTCCTATTCTAGTTCAAACAATGCAAAAATCGAGAGATTTCCTTAAATTAGAAAACCCCTCATAATCTAATGTCTTGGTGAATATATCGGCTAAATGATTCTCGATCCCTATGTACTCAATGCAAAATATGTTTTTCTCAACTATATCCCAAATAAAGTGATGTCTTATATCTATGTGTTTTGTGCAAGAATGTTGAACCGGATTTTTTGAAATATCAATTGCACTCTTGCTATCACAATATACGGTTAACAAATCACTATGTCGACAATGATTCTCAATCCTTTGATTTATCCGTAAAAGTCGACAACTAGAAAAATTTGATTTCAAATCATGCAAAGACACCATATTATTCACAAGAATTCTCTCAAAAAGATTATCATTAACACTACTGAAAATACCACACAATTTTCTTACCAAGGGATAAAACAATCTACCCTTTGTTACCTCACCAAAGGATCCCGACAAAGGATGATATCTCCGAACTACTCTTTCCCGACCAGCAACAGCACCATCAGATCGTGTCTCAGCCTCGGAAGTGGTATTCTGGTCGTCGGAAAAACGTGTTGCCTCAGGTGCTGTGTCTGGTGTCGTGTCAGGTGTCATGACATCTGGGGCGACATCTGGGACGACATCTGGAGCAGCACTTTGTAGCGAAAGGTCCAACACGTCCCGAACGTCATCCTCAGCATATTTTACCCGATAGCAATTTTGGGTAGTTCGCACACCTGTCAAAATACATAACTGAGACTCATCAAAAACTTCACAAGACTTACTATCAAATTTCACATGAAGGTTATCATCACAAAGTTGACTTATGCTAATCAAGTTAGCCTTAAGTCCATCAACCAAAAACACATTCTGAAGCTTTGGGAGGCCATCAACATTGAGTGTTCCCCGTCCTATGATCTTCCCATGTTCGCCTCCCCCGTACGTAACACGTCCACCTTCATATGATTCTATGTCGGACAAGAAATCACGAGTGTCGGTCATGTGCCGCGAACACCCGCTATCAAAGTACCATGATCCTGCAATATTAGACTTCAAAGAAGTATGAATAACATTGCATTTCAACTCAGATTTTGGTACCCAAACAAATTTTTCTTTAGTCCTACTTCCATGATTTTTGGGCATATTACGAGATACGGGAGGCACCTCTGGTTCGAAAGACCTATCAAATGAATTTAATTTATAACAATAAGGTCTAATGTGCCCGGGTGCATGA